TTCCTATCTGGCACCTCGTCCACCGCCGGATCGTTTGGCTCGCTGCCGGATCCCGCGGCCTCGACGCAAATTTCAAGTGACAAACCTCTATAGGATGATCTAGATAGGCTCTAGACACACAACACGCTCATGTGTCTGAGTAGCCATTGCAAGAGTTATCAGGATACCTGTAATATGTGTCTCAAAAGGAAGGTTCTATGTTTTCATTTCAAAAAAGAAACACGAACCCAGTTGAAACTACTACTCACCAAGCCCCAAGCGTTCCTATCTGGCACCTCGTCCAATGCCGGGTTGTTTGGCTCGCTGCCGGGCCCCGCCGCCTTGACACAAAATTCGGGACAAGCCTCTATGGGGTGATCTAGATAAACTCTAGACACACAACGTGCTCATGTCCCTGAGTAGCCTTTAGTGCCTCCAAGTCTTGCACTGCCTGACGCAGTGCCTTAGAGAAATGGACCAACGCCGGTCCTTCCCATTTCTCCTTCACGCGGAGGTACGCGTGCGTGAGCAAAGTCAACAAAAAGGCTTTGCCGCAACTGACATACAGCCAAGGGCATGACGCAGCGTCTCCGCGCTTGCGGCGACGAGCGTCGAAGTCGGTGATACCGCCGACTGCTCGCCAGCTGCCACACCCAAAGCCTGCAAGCTCACGGGGAAACAATAAGAGGAAGATAGCTAGTTGGCTCCGTTTGATTGGGATACTTTAACTGAGCTCACCACGCAGCTCAAAACCGTTCAGGTGCGCAGCCGGGCTTGGCTTTGCAACCCGCCCGATAAAGAGCCCATGCACTTGAAGAGCAGTCTGCCTCGTCCCGACAAAATTGAGCTAAGCGATGCAAGCAGTGCTAGCTTACAATCTCGCCAAGGCCCAGGCACGGCCAACAGATTCCCGGAGACGCCCAGAATTGGGCCTGGCAGGGCCATAGCCACGTATCCGCTAGGCATCTTCATCTGGCTGGGCACGATTGCGCGCGTTTGTTGGGGGGGGAGGTTGTTTCACTGGTCACAGCAATTCCACGCCTCAAGTTCGGGCGCGAAAGCGCAGAGCAAAAGATATTGCAAAAAGCTTGAAAGATCACGCTACGAAAGTGTTCAGTTTCCACATGAGACGACCGACATACCCAAGAACAAAGGCGTTCTGCCAGATGCAATTACAACAAATTAAACAAGAAAATCAAGAATTAGCCATTAAACAACACAACCCCAAACCCTACAAGTGGAGCGCATGAAAAGTTTGTGGGAAAGCTTCGAAGGGTTGTGGCGTGATACCTAGCATTTGGGCTTCTATTTCAACGCCGAAGCAATAGAACCTCGGCCCGGGCCCTACAAGTGATGACTACCATGGGTTGTGGGTTGGGTTTTAAAAGGGCTGCGGAAACAAATGAATATCAACAAAAGAGGACAGGCGCAAACAAGGTCATCAGCCAAATAAATTTCTATAAGGTTCTGGCTCAGCTGGGGTGTGGGCCCTGCCCCCTAGAGCCCTAAACTCACTTCGTTCGCGGAAAATAATTTCAACCTAGCCTATCGGCTGGCTTCCGTGACCTTAACAAATGACGTTTTTATCCCGTCGTATTTTGCTTCAGTTGGCTCAAGTGTCCAGCGCTCAAACCTTCTTGGCTTCTAAGCCTTCTCGTATCATATTGAGCTGGAGATGAGTGACATGAAAAAACATTTTTCTTCACCAAGCTGCTGTTGACCGTGGGCACTTTGATTCGATTCTGGCTGTGGGACCCAGAGCGTTGTGTCGACTGAGTTCCTGAGGGCGGCTGTTGACGGGTTGGCTGACCCGTGGTGCTGGGGGTCATCATCTTTATGCGCTTCCAGCCAGGTCCTCAATCAAAGTCCTTCAACTCCATAAGCACAAAACAACCGCTCAAAGCTGAATGTACAAAAACACTTTGAACATTTCACGCTTTCCTCTTTGGCTGGAACGAGTTCGGTCAGTTGCCACTGGTGTGCCTGTCAGCTATGGAAGCTACAGTGATGGCTGGGGCGTAGATACAAAGCCTTTCAGATTCTTCTCCAATCTTCTCCAACCTTCCCTATTCGATGTGTTCCTTTAAAGAAATCCTATGGACTCCTTAATGAAGACACTTCATTTCTTCAACCCCCCCATATGAAAAGGTGTTCCAGTCCAAATGGGGGTTCTATGAGACATGTATATATTTTCCTAGCGCCAAGCAAGGAGTTTGCCGGAGCGCGGCCCAACAAGCGTTCACTTGTTCAGGCTAAAAGCCATTGACATAGTATGAGGTGACACGAGGCTCGGGGAAAGGCATTGATCCTTTCAATGCAATTACTGTGTAAGCCCGTATACGGCTGATGGGGCACTTTTCAGAGATTGATTGGCTCTTGGGGCGGGTTGTGTCCGAGAGAATGGAAAGTGTCTTTCACCGTTTCAGTTAGCCAGTCCACTCTCGGCCTCCCTTTCCTTCCAAATGGTGGTTTTCGTGGGATGCAAGTTTGGTTTTCAAGAATGACCTGTCTGAGAGGATCGTTTGCATCTGCTCGGAGAATGTGGCCTAATAGACTTATATATCTTCCTCTGCCTCCAAAAGTCTGAGAGTTTTTGAACATATACTCCATGTGTGTTTGCTTTTTGCAGTACGACTTGGCTGGTTTGTGCTCTATCTATGAAAGTGGAGGTATTGTTAGAATTTGTTTCAGCCCCTTCATCTGAAAGGCATCTAGTTTGTTCATTTTGAGCAAGTTGGATCACTTACAGGCTGCACATAAGTTTTGATTGTATGATTGCTTTGAACACACACACAGAGTTTCCAATTTGTAGTGGTATTCGCCTTGTCCCAGAAGAGCTTGAGTTGTCTAAAAGTCTTCATGGTCAAAAAAAAACATCAAAATCAACATAATCTCGACCAGCTTCGTCGATCTTCCGCTTCCGAGACCTCTGCGATGGGCTCGAAGGGCTCCAAATTCGGAGCCACACCTCGGCGCGACGCCACAAGGCCCACGGTGCTCAAGCCGGACCCAAACAGATCCCGGGTGAAGCCAGGTGAACCCACTGCCCAACGACCACGCCGCTTGCGGCCAAAGGAACTCGTTGTGCGGCTGCACTTGAGGAGTGTTGTACAAGTATGTACCAGTACTATTAAGCATGTGTTTCTTGATGATCTGAAAAATGTTTGATGACTTTGGCTGGGTCTCCTCGGCCTAGGGTCTGAGAAAGAAGCAGGTGCCTCCATGCCTCACCCGCCTCACCTACAGTCCAATCTGACTGAGCAGCCGATGCCGAGACTCATCGTACCAGTAGAGATTGACTGGTTGCTGGACGGTGCAGTGGTCGACGCCATATTCACGTCCGGCACCTAGGATGTCTTCAGCTTGCTTCCAGGGTGGTCTTCACTGTAGTTGCTTTTTCTTTTGTTCAACAATGAGCCATCTCAAACTTGGAAGCCGGTAGTGCATCTAATTGTTTCTCTCCTTCGGCGTTGTGATATGATCCCCGCTGTTATATGCTATTTTTATCTTCTTGGATTCCGCACGCAATCAAACATTTGTTGGAGTATAACATGCACATGAGATCACATGAGTGCGTTTTCATGCAATGTGGCTTTCAGAAGACGCATCAGACCAACCCAAAACTTCCTAAACTTACTCTTTCACACTTGGATGAGAAGAACAAATTGAGATTGTTGGGTGTGCAGGATCTCACCTTGGACCTTAATTAGTGTCTCCGACGTTGGAATCTCTGTTTGTCACCAATATTCACATCTGCAGTGCGGTTTGTTGAAGGGTACACCATTCACATAGTTTGGTATGCAAAGGCAACATTCAGGCAAATTGCAAATCAGGAGGTGACCAGGAATTGTCCTTTGTCCACATGCGTCTGAACAGCCCAAGGCACTGAAAGGCTGCTATCTGCCCTCTCCAGTCCCAAAGCTGTGCTGGAGATGTTTACCTGTGGCCGATTTGACAACTGTGTTCCTGTCGAACATGCAAAAGCAGTCTTGTAATACATGCTAAAGCAGTCCTTGTCTTTGTGGTGGATTGGGTCAGACGTCTGCCGAGGCTGCTCGTTTGGCTGGTCCTGGCCGTTTCCGGATCCAGTGAGAAGGGCGACTCAGCGATAGAGGCAATATGAGGCAATGATTTCCCCTATATAATATTTTTCCTAGTAGCGTTCTTGCTCCTAGTAGTACGGCCAGGAGCCCCTAGTAGCGTCCTTGCTCCTAGTAGCGATGCCCTTTGCTCCTAGTAGCTTCTTGTTCCTACTATACTGAAGTGTCTAGTGATGCCTAGTGCCTCAACCGCACTGGAATGGTTTGCGAAGATTGGTCACGCTAACCCATCTTTTTTGCTGGTGTTCTTGGCCTTCTTCGTCAGCTCTGTGGGTTCGCTGCGTGAGCTCAATGGTTGCCTGGGCTTCTCTGCCGCCCAGCTGAATTGGGAAGCAAAGCTTGGAATTACTCTTTCTCTGGGCTTGGTGCAGCCATTTTTCTTGAACCGAGTAGCTCCTCCAGTTTCGGCCGACGTGGGGTGGCGGAGGACGCCCTTGCATCCTCTTTCCTGGGCGCCGCTTTTCTCCAGTGGTGGGGACCGCGAAGTTCCCACAACGAAAGGACCAAGCAAAAGCCCATGGCTAGGCTGCGATTCTTGAAGTGTCTGCAGGGTTTGAGTTCCTATGGCGGGTGTCTCCAAATCAATTTCTGCACAACTTACGCAGCATGTCAAACGTGGTGCGACCCCTTTTCATCCACCTGCAGGATGCGGTCTCTCGTCTGATAGAGCACAGTGCTGAGCACAGCATGTGTGTGCAACAAATCCACGGCTCTCTTCTGCACCTCGGATGGTGCAGAAATGTGCGGAACATCGCGGAACCCATGACACAATGGTTGCAAAATGTTGCAAACCTGAGCCACCCATTAAAACATATTACCCCTGCTTGTAAGATCTTCAAAGCAAATCCACCATTGACAATCGCCGTCCTCCAAAGCATTAAACACTTTCACAACCAGTGCGGCCACAGCGCGTGTCGCGTGTCACGCCAGTTGACCGCAGTCCGCCACCACAACGGGCTTGGAGGTTTTGCCTGACTGGGAGCCAACGGCCTCGACCTTCTTCACCACATCCATTCCTCAATCGACAGGGTCAGCCGATCGGTGCAGCTTTCTGAACCTTCAAACAACTCTAAGTTGGCAAAGTTGACAATGCGTCTCAGGATGGTCATGCACAAACACGAGTCAACTAAATATCTCCAGGTGTATCGCATTCAAGTTAAACACCAGCACTCGGTCGCTACGCCCCGGAAGAAATGGCAAGAAGGTCCATTAATTGTGTCATATTAGTTGTTTAGAGGGCACAGCTTCCAAACCCCCTAAACAAGACAACTGCGCGACGAAACGACACGCACCGTTTTCCTTCAGTCTTGAGCCAAAGCAAGTCGGGAAACCCAAAATGAGCATCACTGACATGACAGGTCACATGGAATGCATGGTCGTCTCTGAATGCCTTTGGGATGACTGTATTCTCTCAACTCCCCCCTCGGGCAGCATTCCATACCTGGTTGCTTCTATCAATCTACTTTCATATAGCAGAACCGACGGCAAAGTCACAGATGCATAGCTGCTTCAACATGGCTGGCCATTCTGCAGGTGTGATTACCTTTGTCAGTCCGTTGGCTATCTGTTCTGATGTTTGTGTGTACCAAACAGCATGCATATGTTCATCTTGAAGGACCTCGTGCACAGAACTAACGTTTACACGATGCACCCGAGGTGCATGCCGCAGCTTGGCGGAATACCCTGTCTCCAAGATCTGCACCACCGCTTGGTTGTCCTGCCTATAGTTGACAGGAACCGGGCGTTGCATCAAGTGTTCTAGCATGGTTTGAACATTGAACACCTCTGTAAACATGGCAGTTGACATAGCAATCAGTTCTGCCTCTGGCGTGCTCCTTGCTACACTGGACTGTTTTCGACTGCTCCAATGCAAAGGGTATGTTGCACCACCAGTCTTGATTGCAATCATGATGCCACTTGTGCTCTTGGCACTGTGAGGGCAACCTGCAAAATCAGCATCTGTGTAAACCTCAATTGATGCCTCATGTTCATGAGCATGGTCGATCTCTCCAACCAAAACTTTGTCTCGGCTATGATGAAGATAACAGATGCATCGGTACAGCTGTCTGTCCTCAAATTTCGTCCACTGAGTGACCCTCGTTGTGAGACGGCCCACAATGAAACTGATGTCTGGCCGCGCCAAGCGTGATAGCCAGAGCGCTCGCATCAGAATTCGTGACGCCACGCCACTGAGCTCCCCTGTCTGTGACAGCTCCTGGTCCGTCATAGTGTTTTCAGGATAACTTGGAGTGCTGACCTTCTTGAGCGACTGTTGCTTTGTTCCAGTGAGCTCACAGTATGATCCAACGACTTGATCAACATATGTACGCATGTCAAATGTGATCTTTGTCTGTGAAGGACCTTTCTCAATGAAGTGTCTGCGTCCCAAAATCAAGAGACCTTTCGAGTCGATCTCTTGGAACGGCTCCATCTTCACTTTTGACGACAAGGCGCTCCAGAAGGAACCATGGCACGACCGATGACCACTTAGCGTCAAATCGTCTACATACACATTAAGTAAAAGGACATATTCATGATCTACATCACCCCCATGTTTGCTAGGATTCCATCGAAACAGGAAATTGCTGGGATGTTCCTGCATTTCAATCCCTCCAAGCGAAACAAGACATGAGGTGAGGTGATCTTGCCACCATCTTCCAGCCATTGGGTGGCCGTACAAGCTCTTGCGCAATCTGACTGCCAATCGGGCATCTTCGCCAAACCTGTTCTTCCAGTCTGGCAACCACAATTCGACCGGGATGATCACAAGTGTGAAGTCGTCCTCGTCCAACCTGCTTTGCAAGAAGGCTTGAATTGCATCACTACATGTAACCATATGTTCGGCCAACATCCCGAACCACAAGGCGATTTGCAAGGCTATGATGGCGGTTGGACTCGTTGCAGTCTCTTGAAACAAAATGAGAGTCACGAATCCTGTCCCCTCTATAGACGATTCTACCTTTATATTTCCACTTTGCAGGCTCTAACTCGTAGTGTTTAAAACCACAGAGGGTCAACAAGTCAGCAACGTGAATTTTAATGTTGTTATTCCTGGCCCAAATTTTCCAATTGTGGAGGGTATCCACGGTATCATCATCCCATGTTTCATTCTGTCGGAGACCTCCGGCCTCGTTCTGAACAGCCTGAACGCCTTGCTCATCATTCAACCACTGACTACGAGTGAGGTTGAGAGTCACAAGTGCAGAACCAGTCACGACACAAGGTATGGAACAATAATACTTGTTGGGATAGAGGGCTTCTAGGATTATTGACGCCATTTCCGGGGTATAGTATGCAGTATGCGCTGCGTTACCACCCACGGCAGGTTCGTGTTCATGCTTCCCATCACACTTGCATTGATCAAGGAACTGGATGAGTCTGAGGTCGGTTGTGCTGACTGCCCAAGCTGCCCAAGGCTTCTTTATCAGCTCACCTTTCTTCCCACGAAGGTTGAACGCACAGCCATGAAAATAAACTCGTTTCATGCAATGGCTTTTCTCGAACTCTAGCCATTGGGGATCTTGCCACAGTTCATTCTCTGCTGGCAATTCAAAGGCAACACGACCACCGTGACTCAGAACCTTATCCATGAACACTTCTGCACTACGTAGCAAAACAATGGCTTCTTTCTGTCTCTGCTTGAGTTTCCTTTGGAATGACCGTCCATGTATATGCTTATTGAGATGCTGCAATGGGCTGTGGTGCGTGCACACAATAGAAACCCACGTGTCAGCTCCTGCCATAGCATCAACCTGTCCCAGGGCCTGTGACAGGTGGTCAGGATCAGTCAAGTCCAACATGTCTCGACTAAGTCTGATGCAGTCCACATTGATGGATTCAGCAACTTGACCCAGCACAGAGTTGTTGGAGCACGCGAACTCAAACAAAACATTATCCCCTGGAAGTCTGTGAAGCCTGCGGTATCGATTTCTCATCCGACAAGTTTCTACAAACACTTCCTCTAGTTCAAGGACCTTACCGATGGCTGCATGTCCTGGTGGAATTCCGGCACTAAAAGGCAGCTCTTCAGACGGAACACCGGCAAACTCTTTGTCTACCTCTGGCAGCTCCACAACGGCACCGGCATGGTTGCTGGTGTTTCTGGCATGGGCACGGGTGTCTTTGCTCCCTCTTCCTTTCCAGAGGCTATGCGTTCTGCCCTGAGCAGTCCGTTGAACCTCGCCCGGCAAACTGGAGTGTGCTTACTATAAGTTGCTTCGAACCTACAGGCACGACAACCATCTGTTGCTCCAAAGCGAATGATACGTTCCAGAGTGATATATTCGTTTCGTTTCGTTTTGTTTTCAACGGCAGCATCGGAAAAGGGGATGTCAAGGGGCGCGATATCTTCCAAGGCTACATCACCGAAATTGGCCAATGCAAGATCAGCTGCGCGCTTCAATGGAAGCATTGGTTCTTTTTCCTCGACAAACAGCTCTTCAGCTGGCACGGAGATTGCATTTGCATACCCTGCCCCCCTGTCCTTTACTTTACCGTAGTCAAGCACAAGATATATGCCCTTGTGAGATTTAGGACCTGAATCGTACCTCCAGCCTGCAAACAACCCGGGTTTTGATGAAGGGTCAAACTTTCCTCTTTGAGAAGGGTCCACATAGTAGTGAACAAGCTGTCCCAACAACAACTTCCGACCCGAGAATTCGACTCCTACGGCTAGCATGTGACGAGTCTGGTCCTTCCCAGCAGCCTTTTGACGAGCCGACAGGATGGTAGCAGCATAATCAATGGAATGAACCCACAACCCGGGCACTACATCAAACCCTGCCTGAAGGTGACACGCTCTTGCAATCTCCTGCAAAGTTCGAATGTCCCTTTCTAGAGTGGCATTATGGGGGAATCTGTTCTCTAGAGTTCCTTCAAATGCACATCCCAATTGTTTGCATGCTGCTTTTGTTTCAACGGCTTGGTCGGACTTCACCATGATGGATGGCTGCTCATAGGAGGGACCTAGAAAGGCTAGAATGTTTCCAACGACCGTGGACGTGTCTCGCTTCGCCAAAGGAAACGCTCTGAGCCATCCTGAGTACTCATCTCTAATGACCTGAACGGCATGTTCCTTTCCTGTACTTAACTTCTGAACAATCACAAAATCAGTTGCAATTCTTTCTCCAAATGTGGTTACCGGGTCTAAAGCTCCTCGGTCGGCAAGCGGATCATGCCTAAACCTACGGACACGCTTTCGATACATCCGGGACCTTTGGCAAATTGGACATGATGCGTTTTTCGGAAAATGACACAGTTTATGCTCGAGGGAGTTAGCTTCAGCCACCAGTCTCCTCATCCGATCAATCGGCATTTCCCCTTTGGAGTCTGCATCAGATGATCCCCCCTCTTCCCGCACAGCTTCTAGAGCTCTTGGGACTTCTGCTGGAGGTGGAGCTGGCTCAACACCTTCTGAAGATGCACCTGCCAGGGCATATGCTGACGACATGTGAAATTCTTCTGAAAAAATAGGCACCCCGTCTTCTACACGATTTGCAACAATGATGGTAGACGCATCTGCTGCGACTTGCACGGACTCTGCATTGCGACCGAAATACGGCAATTCCCCTGGACACCAAATAAAAGGATAACCCTGCTCCACAAGCTTACCTAAGGATCTGACAAGTGGGCAATCGTCCATGATCTGGAAGTTGGCTTTGCCAAACAACGATCCAGGAACATCAATGCATGAATCACTCACAACAGTACCGTTTCCCGTTTCGAATTTGATTGGACTTGTTGATTGCATTTGCTTTTGAACGAGATGTTGTGGAACCCCTTGATCGGTCAAAGCACGAACGGATGCCAAGTCACGACCTGCACCGGAATCCGCAATCCACTCAAAAGCAAATTTGTCCGCTGAACGAGCACTCAATGCAACACTTTGCTCATGTGACACTACTGCTGGCATTGCTTGCAGAGATGCATGTTCTGCATACACCTGCAATGGATTGGTGTCTTTGACACCGGTGAACATTGTGACACAAGATGCAAGAAACTGCATGATCCTCCCAATGGACGATTTTCCCATGGAAGATGCTACCCTACACGGTGAAGCTGGACATGCAGATGATGTGGTCACACCTCCGACTGCAGCTATGGTCGCGACAGCAGCTTTCGCAGTCGATGATGAAGGCCCGGATGACTTCGAAGGCGCCGGCTTTGGCTTTGCCGCTGCCTTGGCTTTGGCAGGGTCATGGTAGAATGGACATGCATCACCACGGGTACACGTCCCCTTACCCCAGAACAGACACTCTACTCGCGAACTATCCTCTGGTTTTGCAGAGTCAGGCTTTGCCTTGGGATTTGGCTTTGCCTCCTCTCCTTGACTCTTACCCTTACCTTTGCCCTTCTTGTCCTTCTCGGAACCCTCACCTTTCCCCTTTGCCTTTGGCTGTGGCTTCGGCTTTGCCTTAGCCTTAGGGATTGGCAGTCCTTTGGACTCGGCACCTGGTGCATCGTGTTCACATGACACTGCTGCCGCAGCCTTTGGTTTTGGCTTGTCAAGCAGCTTGTTCTTTTCTCTGGTCTTGCTTTGCAAGGAACTGCGCACTGCTTCTTCATTCTGGTCTTCTCTCATCTCGTTGATACAAATCTTGAGCTTATTGAAAAGCCATTCCCATGTGCGACAGTGTGAGCCAGCACGTGAGTCACGGATCTTGTCAACGTGACGCTGCATGGCACGGACCTTACGCATTCTCGAGTACAGCCAAGTATACCGTGTCATCTCGGAAGGCTGCAACTCCGGTGGGATGGAATTGAGCACATACTCTACCCGATCTACGAAGCTTCTTAGACCCTCATGCGTGAAATTTGTCACCTCAATCTCAAGCAAACTTTGTTGGGTTAGATTGGCACCACGGTTCTGGTCAAGGAAAAATCGCTTTGCAATCATACTCAACAAGACCCTCCCCAACGGAGCCCTTCCCCTCATCTGCTCGGATTCGGTGTACGCCTGAAACTGCAAACCAAGCTCCCCTTTGAGGTGCTTAGATTCCATCAACAGGCTTGCAAGATGAGCATCCAATCTTGGCATTTCCCCGGAAGTACCCTCTAACATTTCTTTCGTGGCTTCGACCGAGAACGCTTGAAGCAACCACTGGAGGATCCGACTTTGTCCGGTCCTATCGATCGAAGAGGCCTTTGTCAGAAAGGTGTTCTTCCATCCACGGAACTGTGCTGCATCGACTGGAATGCTATCTATCTTAATCAAACTCAAGTCCTTAGCTTTGTAAATGACAGATTCATCACTGACATATGCCGATCCGACGCCAACGGATGGATTGCGACTGTACCCGAAACCCCCAGACCCAAATGGCTGCGGCGAACCAGGATCTCCACCTCCCGGCGAGCTAGGACCTGTACTTCCCGGCGACCCTCTTCCTCCTCTACGTTTGCTTGTGGAAGATGATGATGATGAGTCCGACGACGGTCCTGGATCAGGCGGGACAGCTGATGGTGTGGACATCGAAAACACTTGCGGAAATGTCGAACGCGGACCAAAACCCTTGGACGCTGGTGACCTAGCAGCAGTGTCAACAGGTGGGTACCCAGCACAAGCCGATTGCCCTTCGTAGTGGGGTGATCCATGGGGAGATCCATGGGGAGAGCCAGATGCAATGTTCTGCAACCGCTTCACTTCCTCTTTGAGGGACCCCATTACCTTCAACAATTCCTGCGCATCAACCGCGCCATTATGGATATAGGACTGAGGAGTTTGAGGAACTGCTGAATGTTGCAACAGAGTGAGTTCATTCTGCAACATGGCAACTTGGCTAGCTAAGGCTACTTGGTCTTTCTTCTGTGTTTCCAACAATTTTGCTTGTCTGTCAATCATTTCCAGGAGTTGTCGATTACGATCTTCTGACACAGAGAGTTGCTGTTGCGCTTCAGCATAAGCTCTTTGAGCGATGTCCTGCAACTTCTCTACTTCCTCTTTGTGGGTTCTTTGCATTTCATCCACAAGACGGCTAGCTTGGGATTCCACGGATTGCACATGAGCATGTGCTTCTAGAACCCTGGATTGAGCTTCACCCTGAACAACCTGAACCTGTTCTTGCAATGCGCGAACTTCGGACTCTGCGTGTGACATGATCACTTGGGTCTCGGTACGGGCAGCACTTACTGCGGCATGAGCTTGGGACATGAGTTCACTCTCACGGGCTATCACCTGGTCTGCTGGCACCCCCATGCTCATTTGCAATGTCCTTTGGTCATGCAAGTACACAGCGGTGTTGCTTTGATCTTGAGCATGGGTTACTGACCTTTGGTCATGTAGGTGCACGGAACCAGGACCCCTGTGCGAAACCTCACGACCGGCTCTGCCCGCTGGTGGTCTTGCCGACGAGCTCCTACTGCTACTTTGAGAACTGGCTTCCCTAGACCCTTTGGTGTTCGTCTTAATCACCTGGAGAGCCCTGTGTGGCGGGGGTTGTTCCGGGCTAGTTGATGACACCAACATGGACTGTGAGGTCGACTCATCTTGAGGTTCTGGTGACATCATATCGAATGAATCTCTAATTTCTGAAATTTGTGGCATGGTATCAAAAGAGAACACAATGCAAAAAAATGCCTACCAATCAACAAAGCTTTGCAATGGATTGGGGTTCACCCAAATGACACTGAAGTTGCACGAATGCAAACACTCAGCACCGGCCCTGAACACAGCAAACTTTCACCCCTCAGTGCAAGTTCTGCTATATTACAAGCGACTTTGCGCTAATGCCAGCGACGAGTGGCCACGATGTTATCCACAATCTCTCTCACGTTCCGGCAGTACTTGACCCCTGCAATCTGCCGCTTGCGAGGCACGACAAGCCCAACAATGTCCAAACCGCAATAGGGGTGAGATTCGATGTGGTTCTGAATCTCACTCAACACCTCTGGCGAATCGTCCACGTGAGCCAGGTACACTCCAGGCCCTTGTAACGACAGCAAGAGCTGTAGCTTTCCCTTTGGCCCGTCTGGCTTCCTTGTGATGTACACACCAGAAAACTCAGCTTGAGGCAATGTATGCCTGAGCACGTTTTGCACAGTGTCCGGATTGTGACAATAGCTCACAACGACCTGACAGATCTGATCAGATTGCAAATCTGCAACAGCTGAACGGACCTCTTGTGGCAACCACCCTTGCTGGCAATGAACTTTTCGTGTATTGCTGTAGCGAAAACAGTCCAATACCTGGTGGAAGTCCCAGCTCAGAATCAACTTGGTATTCGCAGGAATGGGACGCCGACCCAAATGATGCCGTGCCTCAAGTTGCCCGACTCTCTCCGGTGTCAGAGCCAACAGAGGAGGTCGCTGCACTGTCAAGTCCACCTGAGGAGGTCGATGCACTGTCAAGTCCACCTGAGGAGGTCGCTGTGTTGGAGGATTGGCCTTTGGCGGTGTGGGCGAAGCGGTCGATGGGGCTGCCAATGAAGCTGTCGGTGAAGCAAGCTGTTGCCGCAACAATGGATTGTTCCTTGTCACTGAAACTCCTGCCAATGTACTCGCCCTGGACGCCGTCAAGCGAACAAGAAGAGGAGGCGGTGTTTGAGCTTCAGCTTCCGTTTCGGATTCAGAACGACTCACCGGCAAGCTAACAGTCTCCTGCACACTCTCTGACTCTATTGACAAACGATCGGCTTCTTCTCGGATATCCGGTTGTTCTGCCACCCAAGATCGAAGATTCGGCAACACAATGTGCTTGCTCTCCGGAAACGTATCCTCTCGGCTCAAATAATTCAACCGCTCTTGCACCTGCCGATAGCGTAGATCCCACTGTCGACGCTCAGATGCTACTGCAAAAGCCAGCTGACGAATAATCCGAAGCACACGTTCCAAGAGAATTTCAAGCAACTGTCGATGTATCGCCCTTGTACGACGACGCGCTGCCCTCCCACCCCTGTTGGAAGCTCGATTGCGACGATGAGCTTCAAGCACTGCCCTCTGTCTTCTCTCAACAGGGCTCCTCGACCTTTGTCTCGGAGGAGGAGGAGGCGGAGGCACCCGACGCATGCACGAGGTGCGGCGAGCAAATGACAACTAGTGTTGCAAACACTCTTGATCCCAAAGGTGCAGTTGGTCACGAGTTTCAATTTTGTTCTCAGGATCTCTCCACTCAATTGCTTTAAGAAAGATGAGGATCGGGCAAAATGCCTGACTGAGACTCTTACTTAGATGGAAACGGTATCACAGGTGGAGCCGAGAATCCTCTAAAAAAGGATGGAAACTTGGTTCCTATTTGAGGCCTTTGTGATTATGGAGGTCGGATACTATCCTCTTTGGTACCGGAGTTGCACCGTATGCAAAACACCCCGCCCTGAAGACACGAAGACCCTCTGTCCTTGACAACAGCGGTCTGAGATGCAGCTCGCACAAAGGTTTTGGCCTGAGACAAGATGCAAGGTCACTAACACCAATTGGCACGGGCAATCAACACGATATATGCTCTGGCGCAAAAGGGACTTAGGCGAGGTTGGAATTGTCCGAGCTGGCTCAAGGCAGGAACAAACCCTATATGGAAAGATGCACTATGAGGCTGTTAACCAGTTGTTTAGAGGGCACAGCTTCCAAACCCCCTAAACAAGACAACTGCGCGACGAAACGACACGCACCGTTTTCCTTCAGTCTTGAGCCAAAGCAAGTCGGGAAACCCAAAATGAGCATCACTGACATGACAGGTCACATGGAATGCATGGTCGTCTCTGAATGCCTTTGGGATGACTGTATTCTCTCAACTATATTGTGTCCATTATTGTCCATTATTGGGTTGGTCATATTTACGTCGCAAAATTATGCAAAATGATCAAAATTGACCTATCAAAGGCCCGTCAAACACCCTCCATCAGTGCTCAGGCACCCTCTGTGACCGAACCGAAGACGCAATGCTTGCCATCCAGCCAGCTAGTCTTCACCGTGCAAAGGAAGAACTGCGAGCCATTGGTGTTCGGACCGGCATTGGCCATAGACAGGGTTCCTGGGAAGGTGGGGTGGCGGGGTGAATCATGCCGAATGTGTTCAAGGAGCGTGAAACATGCCAGCAAGCACAATCACATCACGGTGGACAAACTTGGCAGCAGCAACGCTGAAACGCAAGTGCTAGTGACACCATCACAGTTTTTTAGATTCTAACTGTGATTGGAAACGATAAAGTCCAAAAAAAAAGTAAAACATGCTAGGTAAGAAGTGACGATATTTGCCTGCACTGGTCCGGGTCTATTATATGTAGGCCAAGCATGCCACAATATGCCACAATTGGCGGACTTCACCCTGACACGTTCGCTTTATTAATGAGAACTCCAAGAAGAAGTTCTCCGCTGAACCATCCAGGATGGCATGCCCACTTTCGCGTGGACTGGAGAATCAGTTGCAGAAAGCAGGCACGCCAGCCACCGAACGCGAGAGACAAATCCGCCTGCACCGAAGGTGCTGAGGCGTCGCGTAAACCGCTAGTAATTGCTCGCTCATTGAGCTTTAGCTTGGGGTGTGCGGCTTTTTTGCTCTAGAATGTCCTGTTTTTGATGTCTATTAAAAGCCAATGAAACACGAACAAATCATTTGCGATACTAGTTATGCTGCCCGAGTGAGAATGCATTATTGACGTTGTGTGCACTTGCCCCTGTGGCCTCCCGTAAAGAGAAACGGAAGAAACTATTCATAATGTTAGTTATGCTGCCGCGATTGCATTATTGAGTGTGCGTGTTGCTTTCGTTTGCACCTGCGGATTTTCCTATTGGGGCTGATTGAATACAACACGCCTTGGGCTCTAGGTACCAGCGGCTGGTCGATATCTAAGACGCAACGTTCTTGCGCTCTGGGAGCACAAGTGCTTTCCCGTGTGGACGGTCTTCGCAAAGACCTTCTCCCCTAATGCAGCCACTTTCCCTTGGCCAAGTGTACAAAGCTATGTCAAATCCGAATCTTGAAATTGACAAACAATTGACCTAGGAGCTAAATCATCCTAGATCTGTTTCCCACACCTTGATCCTGCACAAGCGTCCAGGCCCGGTGTGCTTCAGGGTAAAGTTCTCATCTGCGAACTTCGCGCCATAGATGGACTCGCCGCCTGTGCCGTTCCCTGCAGTGAAGTCGCCCCCCTGTCGTGCCGTGTCGCGGTCACATCTGAAACGCGGCGGGTTTAGGGTGGCCCTGGAAGGCTGAACTAACGTTTGTCACGGCTTCCTGTTCACCTGCTAGATTGCAACTTGACTGGTTCCAAACAAGCACTGCTGGTCTAAATTGAGAAGGGAAACAGCAAGCACGATTCAATCGGTGCCAAAGGCCCCGCCTGGCACATGAAGTCGGGGATCACGCGGTGGAAGGCGCTTCCTTTGAAGTGAAGAGGCTTGCCTCCCAAGAATGAAAGTGCGACTTCCCTGATCTATGTTTCATGCATATAATAGGTGTATAATGGTGTATACCTATATATATATATAGTAATATATCGTAATATCAGATATTAAATTACAATATATTACAATATATATTTCTTTGGCTGGGGAGCGCAGTTCACGACAAACCCCGGGGCCTACAAATATTATCAAATATTGCAAAAAACTAGAGACAAACTGAAGTCAAGTGTCGCCATGTAGCGATTATCAGTGGTCACGCCCGTGTTGCGCAATCAACCCAAAATCTGAGACACAATCTGTCTGAGAAATGGCTATGCGTGTCTGCGTGTCTGTCTGTCTGTATCTGTGCCTCTTTTCTCTCTATCTATCTCTCTTCCTCTCTCTCTCTGGGCATGGGAAGAGTCCAACCCGCCTCTTTCTCTGTCAGTTCTGTTCGTCTTTCTGCCCCAAGTTCGTTTCTTGTCTGAAGACCCAAAAAAATGCGACTGCTTCGCGACTTGTGCTGCTTGCGCTAGTGTAACAACTCTGATCGAAGCTTGGGCCATCCATGTGTCAAGGATGCAAGCAGCAAGCATAATGCCGTATCAATCCACTATCCTATAGTTTAACAAGGAATTGTCTCCACTGAACTCCATGCACAGACCGGAGCCTCTCCCTTCTGCGTGCCTGACTTCCCCATGCCCTTCTCTCCGGTGCAAAGGCATCGGAAGTTCTCCGCCGTCTTCGGCACCACATCCGCTCGAAGCTCCATGACGACGCGCCCGGCGGCGGTACCACCGATGGTGATGTCCTGCGAGTGATGGACGAGATGGGAAGGAAAGAGTGGTAGATGAAATGAAATCTGATAAAGAACCTGCCTAAGAACTACGGTCTTCAGGTTGCTTTCGTCGACGTTTCTCCGCGATCCCGCGTGGCTGTGCGCTTTGATCTGTCACAAGCTACAGCTCTTAGCGCGTTGTCAGGGCGTTTTTCAGGGCCTGCGACATCCCTGGAACGCTATGGGCATGCCCAAAGGCTGAGATACTTCCAGCTTGGTCAGTACAGTATTATCAGTATTCAAGTGGCATGCTCCTTTCAGCATCATTGAGGAAGTCCTCTCAACTAGCTCCAGGATTGCCCGTTCGAGTCCACCAAAATGGTCGGTGGATTAATGGTGGGCGTTGCAGCACAGGTTGTGTGGTGATCGTGTGGCATTCCGTGGGGTTACTCTCTACATGCGCCTGTCCCCCTTTCCCGGACAACTCAGCCCCAGACAAAGAATACCTTTGGGTTCGACATGCCGCAGCCGAATGTGTCAAAAACTCTACGAGCAGTGGTTTGGGCCAAAACTGCACACAAGGCCAAGGATTTCGTGGCTGTTCTGAGTTGGTCCGCTAAAAGCACACTCTCCGAGTGGTGCTTTGCTTTGCCTTGAGATTCGTGAATCTATATAGTCCAATTCTAATGCCACCATGGCTCTCCCGAATAAAGAATCTGATGGCCGTCTGCTGGAGGACATCGCGCCGGTAGGAGATTACATCCTTGGACGTGCGCGCCCTCGGTATGGAACTGGCACTCCGAAAGCACGAACTACTTCGCCCGTTGGGCCTATCTCTGCATCTGAATGCGGTCCCATCGTCAAAATATGTCAAAATGCTGCTATAGCTACAGCATACTCCTCAACAATCCTCTGAACACCCAGCACGAACAAGAACCACAAAGAATGATCAACTATTAGCAAGCAGTCTAGTTTGACACGAAGAATGCTCGTTTCTTACCAACACCTGCTGCATTTGTCGCCGGCTTCTTCCAACCCCACGCCCAGCGTCGTTGGCTCGTGCGTCCGTCTGTCCAGTGGAGTCCCTGATTTGGTGAGTGCGATCGTTGCGGCGCATCATCATCATCAACATCAGATTCACCTGGCGGGCGAGACTGATGCATGGCATGTGCAACGACTCCACAAAAAGAACACACGCAGGGAAGCGTAAACTTGGACCCTGAGGATTCCAAGAATTCAACAGCCAAGGCGGTGCCTCCAAAATTCATGAAGTCTCTTTGCTTGGAATCGCTTGAGACGGATTTCTGAGTCGGACATCATGTACTTAAAGACAATTAAAGTATGTCTCTGAAACTGGCAATACGTCGGTACGTCGGAAACTCAGCATATCGCTGAAACACGTGTTTCGGAAATGGCCTTCTCGTTTTCCTACTCCGTATAGTTTCCACCTCAATGAAGCCTGGGGGGACTATTCTTGTTGGGTCATGGCCCCCCTCAAAACTCCATTGGCATCACGCAACTACATCAGTGACCCTTCCCACACACAGTGACCCTTCCCACCTGCACATTGCCCGTCCACAATGAAGTACACCGCCGACGATTAAAGAATTGTTTGTGGGCACGGCTCGTTGCTCCGTGCTTGAGCTAGCAGCTGCTGAAACAATATATGGGTAAACCGCAGTTCCTGCTCTGGGTGGATTGGTCCATATCAATTCAAAGCACACGACTATGTAATGTAGTATGGAGGCAGATTGGCCGGTTGGATTTTGACAAATGCATGAATCATACATAAATATATATATATGTTATATTATATACACATTTAGTGATGAAACTACCAGCGGCCTCGGTATTGACCCCTGAACCTTCTGAGCTTAAAAGACAACATGTATGACAAAGTCCTTTGCATTTGGGAAAAAAGTTGCCAAACCCTTCTGGTGTGGAAAAGCGTAGCGCAGTCTCGGTCAAAATGTTCTGAGTTCTGCATACTGCGGCCTTCGGCCAAAACACTTCGTCGTAGCGTTTCAAACGGTCAGGTCTGTGATGGTCCTTTCAGGAGGGCCGATCGGAACTTGGCGCTCAGCTGTTAGGATAGAAGGACCGCAGCAACGACATTCGTTTGATGTGCGCTGACATTGGGCACTGACACCGGTGTGAAGGATTTGGGGATGTCTCAATTTTGAGGGTAATTAGCGCTTCATTGCTGTGGAGCATCTTCTAACATACTGTGTAGGGAACGCTCTCTGTCCAAACATGCCGCTCCGAACAACTCAGGACAAAGCTGCCGCCCCCCTCCAATCCGTTGCTCAAGCCTGCTCCACTTAGGTGGCCCGCACGACTCCATTGCTCGCAAAATGCAAGAGTAAGAATACTAAAGCTGGTCTGGAGTGTGCTTGATTATGTTGCCTCATGTGGGGCACAACTGTACAGCGATTTCATGCGCACAATCAGAGTTGTTGGCTTTGCTTCTCTGCCGACAATCCCATCATGAAAAGGCCCTTGCCCAAGAAGTGAGGTCCCTACCTCAAAGCACCCGCAGGCACATAGGCACACCTCATGCAAATCCTGAGAATGGACCGGAGCCGGGCATTAACGCTTCGTCTGCTAGTCTCACATCCTTCCAAGTAGGAGGCTTAGCTCACCCGTGCAGAATTATTGGCAACTAGAGTCATTTAGTTTAGCTTTAAAGAGGCAGGAACTCATGGTTCTATGCTGCTCAGCTGCTGCTCTACATCTTGACTCCCTTTTGATCAGCCACCCGTCTCCCTTCTGCCAGCAAAGTCCATTTTGATCTCCTGCCGTCGCTCCTCCGCGTGGCACCGATGCACCGGGCCCACCGCCCTGGTGGACGGTTGGACGAGGTGCAGGTGGCAAGGTTTGCGGCTTCACTGCATCTTCAGGATAGAACTGCCTGTGGCAAAGCCATGTGCGAACATCCTCCACAAACGAATGGATCTCAAAGAACTTGAAAGATTCAGAAGAGGCACGTCTCCTTTTAGGCTAAAGTTGGCTAAAGCGGCTAAGGCGGTTTCTCCGCATTCAGTGGTTGGGAGCGCCACTCACGCACGCAAGAAGTGATTGAAGATTGAAGGAATCACAAGATTCAGGCTTCTGCACCAACCTGATTGTTAACATATGTTTAACATTCACCTACGAACTAGGGAATTGGATGGAATTGGTTGGGATTTGGCTTTAGCATGCGTTCTATCAATGTCTACGATGCCCCCGACCGACTCGAACCCAAGTTAACACCACGACGTCCGCCTCAGCATCGCCGCATGTGTCTGTTGCATCTCCCGCAGCGTGGCCTGCATCATATCCTTGGCGCGTCTCACGTCTCGGCTCTCCCATGCTCTCCCCGAGGCCAATGGCACAGGCCGTAAAATCCACAAGCAGCCGGTGTTGGAGGAAATGGCCTCCGCACTTCTGGGAGGGTGTCGAAATTCTGGCCACTGCGTCGGCCAAACTTCATTGGAATCTTGCCAGCTTAATGCACATCCTACTCAGGGAAACGCGTTAACAAGAAATTGTCCAACTAGTTATTCATAAGTATTCAGTGATACCAAAAAATACTTTAGAAGAAAACGGTCAAGAAAGGCAAGGGGTGAACCCTCCGGCTATGTCCCTTCATGCCGATTCCTCAAATCAGAATGACAAGGTCAGCGACCAAGAAAATAATTCACAACAAATATCTAATTATTACAATGTTTTATTACTATGATAAGGAGCACCCCCCGAAAAAAATGAATATGATTTGGCACCCAAAGAACTGCCAGGACTTCATGAATCCCAACAAACCTTCTCTTTCAAAAACAGGGACCCCAAGCACATCCGGAGACTATACCGAGTCGGCATACGCTACACACATCAAGGTCGACTGTTATATATAATTGAGTATGTAATATGTGTCCAATACATTCGTGCAAGGCATGAACACATACACAATGATATATAAAATATGTTTCCATGAAATAGACCAATCCGTACCTCTCCTTCCGGATACTGCCTCCGGTGCGAACGGTACGGGTTGCTGTCAAGCATCCAAACTCTTCGCGACGCGACTCAACCTTTCGCCTCTTGAAGGCATTTCCTGCAGGGCACAAACGAGCGAAAAAAGGGCAACCAGCGACGTGTTACCAACAATGGCCTCCATTCTTAGAGCTATGGCCTCCAACCTAAGAGCGATGGCCTGCAACCTAAGAGCGGTGCTCTCCAACCAGAGCAATGGCCTCCAACCTAAGAGCGATGGAACCTCGCCGAATTGCAAGACCTGCCTCAAGAGGACTCAGGTTCTTGTTCAAGCTCAAGCAACGCTTCTCCTTCCTAGATCACTTCAATCAAATCGCTGATTGATTTGCACGTTCTAGTAAGAACAACCATTTTCTGCACATGCGTGTGTATGGCTGGCCGTTAGAAACCTTTCAGTAGCTACGCAATCCCGGCCTTTGCTTTGCGGCTGAACGTGGCCGGGCTGGACCTGCAGGGCAGACCCCGAGTTGGGGTTGGGGTCCCCACGGCGAGGATGTTTGGAGCTCTTGACTGGCTCAAAGCACAACCGTGTTACAACCTATTTCACCTATGTCGTGTCTAATTCTCTTTGTGCCGTCGTGATGTACAAGAATGCTGAAAAGCTGGTTCAACATGGTTCAACCAGGTCTGTTGGGTACGTACCACATGTCTCAAACAGTCGCGGATCCTGCGAGTGTAGCTCTGCATTTTTCCTCTGCATGGTCCAGTCTCAAACGAGGGCTGCTTGTTGCCGCAAAGCTTTGGGCTGGAAATTGATTCTCTTCCATCCCAGTCACTGGGCTCAAACAGGCGCTTGAAGAAAATAATCGGTGTCCTCAGCACACTCGGGCCATCCATGCTGCCGACCCGGATGGCACTAGCCGACATGGTTTCCCTATGCTTCTGAGAAAAGGCGTCATTGAAGGTGCTCTTTCTTTCTTTCTTTCTGTTCTTTCTGTCCTTATGTCTTTCTTTCTTTCTTTCTTCCTGTCTGTCTTTCTTTATTGTGTTTTTTTTTTTTTTTGTTTTTCGTTATTTCTTTCTTTCTTTCTTTTTCTTTCTTTCTTTCTTTTTCTTTCTTTCTTTCTTCCTGTCTGTCTTTCTTTATTGTGCTTTTTTGTTTTGTGTTTTTCGTTATTTCTTTATTTATTTATTTATATATGTTTTTTTCTTTCTTTCTTTCTTTCTTTATTTCTTTCTTTCTTTCTTTCTTTTGTTCGTTCGTTCTTTCTTTCTTTCTGTCGTTCTTTCTGTCTCTCTCTCTCTCTCTCTCTCCCCTCTCTCAGCAAGGGTTTCTCTTGTTATGTGCAGCTCGTGTTGTAAAATAGATCTTCATCATGCATCGGCATACAATCCTGGTCCTCCGGTCTCTTCCGCGCCAGGATAGTCACACTCTTCATCCCCAGCACGTAGAAGATGCAAGCAATGACATCAAAGACCACCACCCAGGCAAACTTTGGCATTCCCCAGAAGTAGTCCATGTCCTCAACATCCTTCAAGTGCTTCCTCACTTGATGGTCGTGAGTGATCCAGATCCCTCATTCATTCTCAGAAAACACTCAAAACAAAAGGGCTATGCCATGGAGTCTGCTCGCTAAAAAACCTGTTAACTTCATTTCGCCAAGCATCTGTTGCTTGGACCATCTGGACACGAAGGAATCCACAGGCAGCTGCGCATGCTCTGCCTGGTGAGCTGGAGCTTGCTTTGAAAGCTCGGCCTTGAAGGCCACACCTGGTGGCACAGGAGCAGCCCTTGCCCCTGTCTTTCCGGTCCAGTTATTTCAACTCTTTAGAAAGACAATACATACAAGTTCTACCCGACCTTGTGCAAGCAGCAATGCCAGCAGTGCCCACCTCATTGTAGCTGGTGGGGGGACAGGTCCACCCAGCTCTTGGGCTGAGGCGCTGCAGAAGCGCCACGCCCAAGCTTGAGCCGATCGCAGATGTGACAAATATGCATGCTGGCAGCCGCCAGCAGGAGCATGCATGAACTAATAACATCCACACGGTTGAGGCGACTGGCGAATCAAGAAAAAATCAGATAGCATCGAGAGAGAGAGAGAGAAGAAAAAACATTGGTGTTGTGAACTGCAGGAATCAAGAAAATCAAGCTCTGACAAACCCGGTCGAAGGTGAATCCCATGTTTACCAACCCATCAGATTGCCCACCATGCTCAGCCAGGCTCTGATCTTTTGGCCCGCAAATGGCTTGCGGTGTCTGTCCTGCACATCTTTCCACGTCAGCTGAACTGAGCAGGCAACACCAAAGTGGGCTCCATCTTCTTCAACCCTCGTCTGCCCTCTCTGGCATGCTCCACCAGTGAGAGGCCAGCCAACCCAAAGAAGGTGTGGAACGGATCCGGGTCGTCGTGCGGGTGGGGTGCGACTCCGCCTGCAGCTCAAAGACGGGTTGTAGTCATTGAACTGCCCAACTTACCAAATGAGTGCATGTTTTGTTGGTTTGCGTGGGGCATTTGCTTCTGCTCAAGTTCAGTAAGCCTAAGCAATTGCACCGTACCGAGCAGGTTTCACCATGTTGCGGGGACATGCGACGTCGATCTTCCTCGAAGATCTCCCCAAAAATATCCCCGGAATGTCTCCTCTTCTTGTCATTTTCTTCCGCCTTCTGCACTCATGCAGTGCTCAACGAACTCTTCGAGGGCTTCCAGATCGAACATGCTGACGATCTCACTGCCAGCCAACAGTTCAGCAGCAGCCAAAGTCCACCAGGTGTAGCAAGCGTCGGCCTTCTTGCCTGAACCAGCCGTGCTGGCTTTGATATATATATATATATAGTTAGATGTTTCTTCTGGTAATCAGCATCAATATTTCTACAATAAGGCCCAAACTTTCAGAGCCAACACAAGAAAGCCAAGGAGGCAACTGCACTATATACACACATATATATTATGGTAGCCCACAGACCCACATCCGCACTCCATGCGGACCTTTTTCCCGCTAGGGCTTGAGAGTCCCTGACGAAGCGGCACGGTTGGCACAGATCGACATTCCTATCAACTCTTTTTGTAGGTCCGAGGCATCTGGCTTCCTGGAATCTTTGGCATGTCGTTCGAAGCACCTCCATGAGCCCTCATGTAATTCACAACATCCTTCAAGCCTGCCGATCCGGACTTGGCGTGGCTATACAGGAACTGGCGGTAGGATTCCATGCCCTCAGAATTCGAGGTCATCAGCTCATGGTACGACAGCATTCCTTTGTATTTGCCGAACGAGACCAATGTCTGGCCCCATTGGGCAAGCGATTCCACTCCCGATGGCAACTCAATCGACGGAGTCAAAATCGAGGCTTTACCACCAGTGGAGGGCATCGGGCTCATCAGACTTGTCAAATCTGAGGCAGCTGGTGCATAGGGCGTTGTCGAATAGCCCGGATCATCTCGGAGCCTCTTGCTACTGTCGTTCATAGTTCCGCCGGAAGGACCGGCAGAAAGCTTCTCCCAAGCCAACTCCTCGGCCACATCCTCGGTGTCGATCACCCGGCGAAGAAGGGAATCCCATACCCCACATCGACGGGCTTTGACCATCAACTTCACGCACTCCTCGGCTTCAGCCAAGGTGAATTTGGACTTTCCCTCATGAGTAGCCATGGCGATGGCTGACGGCACTAAAGGTTCACAAGGGATGATGATCTTGTGATCACTGAAAACTCTTTTGAGACACGTGGAGCGGTGAGTCCATCACACGCCTTCACAAGAACTGATGGTCGACTCAAAACACTGTGCAAAGAACAGGCGGCTTCGTCCTATGGACTGGACCTAACTTCTAGCTCAAGATATCTATCAAAACACGGGTGCAAACATATGGCAAAAAGGCAGAGTGAAGACCCCTTTGACATCAAGCTGTTCAACCCCAGGCATTCGACACGAGTGTTCACACTCAACAACACGAATGCGACAACCCTCAAACAGCCTAATTCACTCCTTCCCAGGTTTTGGCCCTGGGACCTCAACTTGTTTCCCCTGGGACACTCTCGAAGCGAGTTGTTTCCGTCGGTCACGCTCGGTGGCACGGCGTTCCAAGACCAGGGCCTCAGGGCTTATCTGGTATCGGCTGGAGCGCAAACATGCTCGGAGAAGGTCAAAAGCTTCGGGGCTCTCCTTTGTCAAAGCATCGGCCAACATGCGATCAGTAGGGATCCAGCGAAGAGTGGATTTCATTCTAGCGATGCTATCTCTAAGTATGATGATATCAATCCCGGTGCGACGATCGTCGAGACCCGGAGCGGACTGAGATTGCAGATGGTCATATAAGGATTTACAATCAGTAACCAGCATGGTCATGCGATTGCCTAACCCCTGCCACAAGCTCTGAGCTAGTCGGTTACCATCGAGGGCTTCTGACAGCATGAGGTGAGACCATTCTAACATGCTAGAGGCCACTGACATGCTCTGAGCTTCGGCGCTCAGTGTCGAACTAACGACACGGGGCAAGCGGGAACTCTTCCAGTATGCTGGGGACCAAGGGCAATCCTTCCCATCATTGACCCCTGAATCTACAAAGCTAATTATGAAACCAGCCTGAGTTGCTCCAGCTTTTGCATTTGCAAAGGCGGCGTCCGAATGGCACATAAGACCTAACTTGTTGGGGGCAATGGAACAAAACCGGATGGACTGGTCAGCATGTTGTTTTGCTCTACGCACTGCATGATTAATGGATATTGCATCGCTGACAGTAGGTCTTGGGAAGGTCTGCTGAGAGAAGGACACCTGAGTCGCGAGGTCTGGACGCGACTGGTTTGCCAGCCAGTTAAGGCTACCGTTGATAGCTCGAAGGCAACTAATTTCTTTCTCGTTCAACGGGCTGTCCTTGTCACGGGCTCTCTCCCTACTCATGCGCAGAGGCTTCACTTTGTCAACAAAACGACACTGGTTCATTTCAATCTCGAACGTTTGCATGGTTTGCTCATACTGCGACCCACAAAAGTCACCCGAACCTTGTCTCCACTTACGAAACTCGAATACCGACTTGAGTCGTTCAATGGCATCATGGTACCCCTTACCTTCACCCCCGGTGACACAGTCATCCACGTGAACACCATAGATACCTGTAAGCTTACCATGCTCTCGATAGTAGAAAAGGCAAGCGTCGAAACGGGATCGTTCAAAGCCCACTTGGATGAGTTCCTGACACAACTTCTTGTACCATGCCGATGGGGAGTCGTTAAGTCCGTACACGTGACCAACCACTTCTATCAAGGCGTCTTCTGGGACGCCCGGGATGCCTCCAGGCGGAAGCCGAGCATAGAGAGGACGGTATCTCTTCGGAAGATCACCAGCAGACAAAAATGCCCCCTTCACGTCGCCTAAGGACATACGCCACTTGTGGCTGGCCAGCAGTTGGAAAATCATGTTGCTTCCGACTTGTGACAACGTGGGACTTTGCAAATCTCCCACTTGTGCTTTCTCCGTCAAGTCAGGGTCCAGGTGGCCTAGCAAACACCAACGGGCTTTCATGCGGGGTGCAGCATCATCTTCGGTCTTTACTGTTACTACAAACCTGCTTCCCATGATACGGTGACCAAAGTGTGCTCGAACTTCTGCGGCCTCCGGACCAAGCACGAGCCTAGCTGCATGTTTCCCTGAGACAGTGTTCCATTCAAACAATTTGGCTTCGTCTATCTTCAGCTGAACTTCAGGGGGGTTCCCAGAAGCCGGAACCTCTTTGGAAGTTTTCTTCTTCATGTAGGCCGTCACCAAGGCTTCAAAAGAGGCACCGTTGTTGTACATTTGGATCAGGGCTGTCCGATCTTGGGGTTCCAACCGATCAGATTGGCGATCCGGATCTACCTGGGATTGCACCTCAACAGACAAAACGGCTACTTCATCTCGAACGAAGGTGTGACCTATCTCTTGGACTAGCAGTTCATCGAAACCCTCGGGTGGAGTAGCACGTTTGTCGGCTGGCTCCAAGTCGGCTGGATCCACGCTTTCCTCAAGGCTTCGTTTCACCCCTCGTGCAGAATCTGACTCCGACGGCCGATCCAAACTTGACTGTTCTAAGGACTTCGGTTGCTCTTGGAGGACCTGTTGGATGAGGTCAGGCACTATCTCTTGCATCAGCTCCTGGAAATCTTCTTGGGCCATGGGTCCGGGACGATACAGGGCCGTAGGCCCATCTTTCTGGTGGATTTGACGACGAGGTGGCCTGACAGGACCATAGGTGGACCCGTTTGATGAACTCGATGGCCCGCTGGAGACATCGTGAGTTGGTTCCCAGATATTGGCTTTCGTTTGTGGTGTTTGTGGCTCAGTCGGAGACTCCTCTACACCAGGCATGGGCTGACTTTCATCAGCACGCACTTGATCAAGCACGGACGCCGGGCCCGATGAACCCGGATCTGGCAGAACAGCTGGTGGCTCATTTGGTTCACTTGGATATGACTCCGGCACCAGGTCAACGTATTGACGGCTTTCAAGCTGTTTGGATTCGATCAAACGCTTAATCCCGAGCAATTCCATATTTGGGGTGTCTACCAACTTGAGTTCATCTTGGGTGGATTGTCGGACTTGTTCCGGTGCACACCTAAAGATCTGTCTCTTGTGAATGACCACCACATTTCGACCAACATACCCGAGAACCACGGCAGGCCCGCACCATCGGCCAGTCTTTTCCAAAGAACCGTGAACCCATTTCTGTGATCGCCAAAAGGCGACATAGGAACCAGGAGGAAATGTCTTAGTTACTCTCGGTCGAGCGGCAAGGGCCAAACGAAGAGCCTTGCTATCCTGCAGTTCCAACACGGCCTTCCGTGCTGTCTGACGGATGGCCACCTGTCGGGCAACGGCCTCTTCATAAAGAGAAGCTGTGGCCGGCACTACGTCTAAGGGTTCGTCCAGCAAGTTCTCAGGTACCCTGGGGTTTTTGCCGAAAACAAATTGCGACGGAGTCATGCCGTAGACCTGGATGAGTTGATTCTTGCAATGACATGCGTTGACACATTCAGTCCATTCAGCTTGATTGGATGGCACATGTTCGGCTAGCAACTTGGATAGGATTTTGCCAAACCAACCCCCATGGACTTCTACCTTACCTAATTGCCAGTGGGCGTCTGCCGCAGTGAGCTTGAAAGTGGCGCCGCCCTGTTCCATGACACTTGAGAAAGCATCGGCAATGTTGGCTCTGGCAGGATCGCATACGATCTCGGTCGGCATCCCTGCCCGTGACACCCAACGTTCCAAAAATGCTTGCTTAATGGTTTCTGCCGTTTCTTTCTTGAACAGGGGAACTACAATCTGCAGAGAACTGGCAAAATCAATGATGTTTAGGGAAGGTATCCGCTGATTTCCTACCCATCCTTGGAGGTACTTGATGTCTACCCCTACGACGGCATTGAACTCAACCACTCGTTGGGATTGCGCCGGTAGGGCGGCCTTTGGGGCCTGCTGGGCCACGCAGTGATCACACGTGAATCTACGAGCAGCTTCCAGTGCGGCCGCACTGGCCCCCCCATGCTTCAGGATCCTCAACAGTTGTTGATTTGTCGGATGACCTAAGTTATTATGGAGTTTACGCAGGCTCAACTGCATCTTGTGCTCGTTATCATCACTGAGATCCTCGAGAGCTTGGGCGACCAGGCATTCCGACCAGGAGCTATCACCAACGCACAGGCATTCCCCGGTCGGGAGTCCCTTCACGAGTCGAAGCACAGCTTTCACGAAGGCCGGTGTGTATTTGGCAGCATGTCTACTAATGGAGCCAATCTTTGGCCATTGACCTGCAATGCACTGATGAGTCCGATGGCCTTCACGAGACGGACCGGGGCATTTCCTACCAAGGCTCAACATGTCTTGGTGAGACACTAGCAAGCCGGTCGCTTTCCGAATCAGGCTGCCGCCTGGGACGCGGAGACCATAGCAACACATGTCGACATGCACCTTGAAGGCTTGCTTGGTAAGTTCCATCATGGGTTTCATGGACCATGCAACTGAGTCTCGAGGATGCTCGAATAGAAACCGCTTCCCGTGGAGCTGTTGGATTTGCGTGAGCTCACAGCAAAAACGGATGAACAACGTGGTCCAGGCCTCACGAGTGGTCACAGCGGCTGAATCCATTCGAAGACGATTGAGATGCCACCAACCTCCGGCCCACGTGCACGGTGGACAAACCACTAGGAGTTCGGGCGGTGTGTCTCGAACGATCGACTTCAGGCGCTCACGATCGGCCTTCCTACGGAAATCCCACCCTGTGCACAAATCAGCTGATAAGACATGGAGACCACGAGTCGTTCCCTCGAGAGCGAACCGGGGCGGCGAGAACACCTCAATCACATCATATGGTCGGTTGCTGACCTGGGGATTACTTCGCACCTGAGCCATCAAGCATCGATGCTGCTTGGCCGTCCATTCGGCCAGAAGGATCTGTTCCTGATCGACGGACGGCACGGACGGCATGTCGGCATCAAGACGAAGACGGAAAATGGTTTGTCCCGTCCAGGGTCTAGATCCTAGCTGTCTGTGGGCTAGATCGGGCTCAGTCCACGAATCACTGCAGTCCCTGGCTTGCGGAGTGAGGTGATCTACCTTTGTGACACGATCGGCATGCAAGCTCGTGATCGGGACAGGACATCGAGTATTGGCTGGTGTGAACATCGCAGTTCGAGGCTTGACATGATGCCTGATCACTAGTCTATCACTAGGCCTAAACTCCCAGTAATCCCTCTTTTTACCTATGGGTTTGTTAAAAGCAACCGAGTGGCATTCGACGGATGGTGGATCAGCTTCAGGCACTGGCTCATCCGACACGGCTGGAAAACGGCTTCGGGCATCCGAGGGAAACTGCGAAACGTTCACGGCATATTGCCCAGCAGCATTCACTTCCAGCGGAACCTCCACGTGATCGGAGAACAGTGTCAGCCGGTCGTCGGCAAAGCTCATCTGGGCTTGGAGTGTCTTCAGGGCCGGTCGGGAAAGAAGGAGCGGTGCCTTTCCCTTAACCACAGCGGCTCGAACCAAGCCGGGGCGATTGGCCACAAACACGGGCATCTCCACAACCTTCTGACTGACTTCCTGCTCACCGTTCCCAAATCGGAAACGGTTCACCTCAGCATGCTCACGTGGAGCTGGGATGTTATGTTTGAGCCAAATCTGTCGAAAGGCAGCCAGGGTGTCTTCACCAATGATTGTCTTCCCACATCCACTGTCGAGGATGGCGAAACCGGGGCTGCTCACCAAAAGAACTTCCTGTTCCACCGTTGCTGAACACACGAAATGCTCGGGAGCATCGACATCCAGGCATTGGACAGAACCGGCAGCGTGGCTTGTCGTGGTAGTGGAACTCGAAGCAGCTGGAGCCTTGCATTCCCGCTGCCAATGTCCAATCTTGCCACAACGACGGCGCCGGGTTCGCTGCTTAAGCTCTTCAACTTGCACCCGGAAGGAACGTCGGAACTCCTTGGATTGGCCAGGAGGGTTACGCCGATCAGTCGGCGTGAACCGACGGCCTTTTTGCACCTGATTCAACTCAGCCCGGCGCTCTCGCCAGGTGGCTGCTAAAATCTCGGCAGCATCTTCTTCTTCAAGACCCTCTTCATCAGGCAGGTCGCCGTCAGCGTCCCTCTCATAGCCGTGCTCGGCAAGGAACAGTTCAACATCTTGAAATCCATCACCAGCCATGTCGGCTGCTGGAGGAGCTGACTCCACATCGTCCACCAGGTGAGCGGCAGTCGTTCGCTTTCGGGCCATCACATAGTCCGGAAAGCAAGACCTCATAGCCTGGGATAGTTGATCGAACTTGAGATCTCCTTGGGCGCGGGCCAGACAGATAGCACGATCGGCCTCGGACATGCCCGAGCAGTTGAGGAGGATCCAACCACGAGCCTCCTCGGGGAACTTGACTCCAGTCTTACGGGCGCACTTGTCGAAGACCTCTCGGGATCGTGCGCACCACTGGCGAACGGTCTCGCCTTCCTTCGCCTTCAAGGCGAAGACATCAGCGATGTTCTCGCCGATTTCGTCAGTCCGGTCGAGCTCCGGCCATCGGCGATCGAGGAGATCGAAGATCGCCTGTTCGCCACCCTTCTTCTGGTAGTCCTCTTCCTTCAAATGCTCGACCACTTCGAGTGCACGACCGCTCAGCAGGGTCCAGATGAACGATCCCCTTGCTTCCTCGCCAAGCTTGTCCATGGTCCTCATTTTGTTGAGGGCCCACTGCTTCCACCTGCGATACTCCCGGTAGTCGCAGTCATCTCCACTGAACATCCGCATGGATGCTCCTGCTTCCATGGCTTCCAACGCGCGGCACGGTCGGCGCTCCGATGAACTACCTAGTTCACCCGGGAGCCAGGCGCTTTTCACCTGGCTCCGCTACCAATTATGGTAGCCCACAGACCCACATCCGCACTCCATGCGGACCTTTTTCCCGCTAGGGCTTGAGAGTCCCTGACGAAGCGGCACGGTTGGCACAGATCGACATATATATATATATACACAAGAAATTACAATTACATGTATGTGATCATATGCATATACAAACTGATACTCACATCCCTGCAAGGCCCTCCGACTGCACCTGGACGGCCATTCATGCCACCTGATTCGCACTGGCGCCCAGAGAGCCAGCGGATCAATCGACCCCTGCCTGGCAGTGGCACCCGCGGCGGAGCAGGGCCACCATCGGCTATCTATCTGACTGGTGCTTAGTGAGGAATTAGGGAATGGATCTATAGTAGGGGGTCATTCGCTTATGCTCTACTAAGCACCAGTCAGCCTATCCTGGAAGGACCGAAGGACTTCGATCTGCTCGGCTGAGGCCGTCCTTGTCTGCACACTCTGAGTGACAAAGTGTGTTTTTCTTTGGCCTTCATTCCAATTGCAATCTGCATTGCAAAGCAGGGGCATGCCGCAGTATGCCATGCCAATTCCATTCGCTTCGTGAAATGACATCAGTTGCTTGTAACATCTCCCCACGCTATCATCTCATAACTCCCCACGACGCCTCGGTGGCTCAACTGATGGAGCTGTGAGATGAGGCTCAGGGCTGCCAAGCAGCAGAAGGTGTGTCCCGCGTGTGACTCACACTCCCCAGGGCGGCACCTAAGGTGAGAATGACCCAAAACGAGTGCCTGCAAAAGCTCAGCTGTTCATTTTTGTGTGCATTGGTCATCGTTATCTTCGAGTGTTTCCGTGAGTTTCCATATAGAGAGAGGCCTCCGCCAGCTTTACTTGGTGTTGTTCATTGCAATTGCTCTGGACGCAGTTCTGTCCGGATAAACCCTGAACGCAGCTCTCAGCTCTCCCAGTTGACAAACTCTCATTGTGCTTGGAGGAGTGTCAGGGGTTCTGAGTTGTGAGTTGAGAACTGTCAAACTGCTCATGTTCACGAGCAATGACAGCCTCCATTCAATGATCTCTACTCAGTGTTCCCGGGCAAATTCTGTCAAAGTGCATGTCCCGGACAAATTCTGACAAAGTGCATGTTTCAAGAGGGATTCACGGTTGTAACTGACTTGGATTGCAAAAACAAACTGCTCTGAACTTCTGTAGGGCAGGCATGGGCAGCCAAACGCGACAATTTTGACACGATTATCACCATGAATCCGAGCTAGCCTGGCACCTGTGAACTCTTGTGACATCTTGACCTGTGAGACTGAAGAGCCCTACAGAATCAAGAACAGTCGTTTCAAGCGAGACGTTGGTTTATCTGATGAGCTATCTGTGCTCAGCCTTCCACCCCTGGGAAAAAGCCGGGATCCAAGCTGCCCAAACCCGCCGTCCAGGTTCTGACACCGCAACAGCCAGGCTGACACCGAGTCCTTGGTGGAAAGGATCCAGAATCTCCACATGGGCAATACATGGACAATACTATCTATCAAACAAGATCGACACGATTGTGTCTTCGGCTGAGTCAAAACCACAATCCTCACTCCGTTCTGAATTCTTCTGTGCACCTTCCAAAACGCCGAAACACCGCGGCACGGTGCTTGGCACATCGCTCCGCTTCAAGCACCGAGTGTCGAGAGATTCCTTGCGGTCGTTGTTCTCGAGTCTGGCTAAGAGCTTCAGCGCACACAGCGCCGCAAAGGTGAAACGGCAGTCGCCCTCGTTGGAGCCACTGCGGTTCGCGAAGGATCCATCTGGTAGCTGTAACGAGCGAACCTCAAAGGAAGGAATTACATATGTGTCAAATGCAAGAGCTTGAAATAGTCTTGTGGTGTCTCGAAAAGAGACTTGTGAATCAAGCCATTGATGGACATGGTCGCACATGGTGCACTGGTTGATTCTGAAAACCGGTCCGAGGCTTGAAGCCCAAAAAGAATTGGTCGTGCCTAATTGCAACAAATGCGGATGTTGGTCCATGCTGGTGCTGAAGAACATGTCAACAGCGACCCACACCACCCACCCGCCATCCTTGGGCCACCATCCATTTTCCGTCCGAATCCAGGTGAACCAAGGAGAAACAACATATTAAAGTATTGATGTTATGGTTTGGTGTTGGCACACTAAGCCACCTGGAACACCCTAACACCCTGGTGTTTGTGTCCTATCTCATCCTGACCAAGGACTTTCGCTAACTTGACCCGAGACACGTAGTGTGAGACCTCTGAGAGGTCGCCCAAAATTCCGGGCTTGTCCAGCAGAACCTCTGCAAGGCCAAAGGCAACGCACTTAGGAAATCCAGTTCATATAAAAGGCCTCTCAGGTGTTCTTTGGATTTGGATTATATATCTCTCGTTCTTCTGCTTCTTTCTTGACACCCCCGAACAGTTTCCAGAATGCACTTTGTTCAGGCCCGAGCCTCCATGTTCAACCCCTTTGGGAAGGAGCTTTGACTCAGTTGTTTTTAACTCAAATGTAGGACGAAGACGTGTAGGCGTATAGATATATATATATATACATAGAGAAAATCCCTTAAGTATCCTCAAGTTGCTGGACAAAAACATCAGAAAACCCATTCCATGACCTGCTGGCCACTGAGAAACAGCCACTTGCACTGCACTCACTGTGTTCAGCAGGTCTGCTTGATGCGCTGGATGTGGTGCGAACGCCCCGGGTGTGCTTCGACAGCGGCATCTTCCCGCAAAGTCAAGAATTTGTTGACCTTTGGGTGCCGGGTCAGCACAGAGCAGCGTCGGACGAGGCAGTGTCGGAACTAGGTGAGGGGCCCGGAGGACCCTTGTGATTGTTCACGCATCTCAACTCAACTCTGTCTTGGCACATGTCAATATACAATACATCTGCACATATGTATATAATTGTATGTATAAAATGGTGTGTATGCATGCATGCATGTATTGTATGTATGGTATTGTATTGTATTGTATTGTATGGTATGGTATGGTATGGTATGTATGTATGTATGTATTGGAACTGTTGATCAACTGTTGGAGCTTGGCGGGTGAAACCCCCCAAGGTTGCTAGAGCCTGTGGGCCAAGTGTAGCCGCTGATGCTCCGGTGATATATAATTCCGGAGCGACCTTGAGGCCCGGGACGGGGAAAATCCTGGCGGTGGTCATGAACATCAAAAAACTCCCAACACTCACTTTGAGTCCGCCAAGGGGACGCATCTCGGGCTCGATCACATGCCCAAGCAGTGTGTAGGCACAGGTGATCCAGTAGAGCGCACTGAGCAAAGAAGTCTCCTTGGACTTGAAGATTTGAACTGATCCGTGCAAGCACCATTCAGTGTTTCATCTCGATGAGTTTCAAACATGCTCTCTCGAACCACCCCGACAAATCCCAAGAAGACAATATACTACGAACATTCAAGCTAAATGATGTTCCTTGCTTTTCTTGATTGACTTTGGCCATGGTCCCCCCTCATCGCCCGGGCTCCGCCACCGCAGCGCCCAAAAGGAGTTTCGCCTTCTCCCCAAGGCCCACCAGGCCGCCCTCTGAGGTTCCACGAAGCTCCTCCATCTTCCTGAATAGAAACATATGGGGTGGATGATGGTCTTCCATTTGGCCGACGGAGTTGTGTTTGAGGAAGATGGAAGACCAATGTGCATGTATTCTTGGTACTGTAGTTGTATAGTTTCACTTGTCATTTGTACTGGTCCACCCCGCCTCAAGCTTTTGAAGCCAGAAGCGATGAACATATCCAGAAACTGGAGGTGCACCCGCGCGAAGCCATCGTCTTTGGATGCCATGACGGGTGTCGAGGTGAGGGACCGTTCAGCGTGGAGGAAAAGGTTGAGAACAAATTGGCATAGAAATTATACAATTGTCTACCCGGATGCATGCAACGAGTCAATGAAAGGAACATGAGACATCCTTGCCTTGCCAGTGAAAATGTTCAATTCCCCGGAATGGAATGGATTAAGAACAAACACCTTTAGTCAGTCTAGTCGAACCATGCAGACCTGCGGGGGGACCTGCGGGGTCTGTGTGCAAAGGCATGCCAGCAGCCGCAGGCACGTTCCCATCGGTTTTGTTGCCTGCTCGGCATCACCCATGCTATATATCATATTAGATCAGGTTTATGAGAACCATCGCCCAAGACGACTTGAGCCTGAGGGATTGCAATAAAATGCATGGCGATCATGATCATTCTCTAGATCATGGAAGATCTTGGCCAAATGAACTCCACGAATTTCAACCTACACCCAAAAAGCCGCATCTGTGAATGTTTTGCAAAGCGGTGCCTGGCTTGGCGCACTGCCATCGCCGCCAACGCTTCAAGCTTCAGTGGGAATGTGCCCCATTCAAATTCATCCATTGGGTCTATTCGATATCTGGTTACCAGTGGATGATGATGGTTAGTAAAGGCCTTGTTCAAAAACAGTGATACTTGTTTACTGACTGTTACAGGTAATAGGACAAACCCAATCCATCCAAGTCTGATGAGCTAGTCCAAGGTGCGTTGACTCAATTCGTACGGACGATAGCGTTCTCCATCTTTTGACACTGCCTTGAGCCTTGTGACGGTGACGCAGGTTGTGCCACAAAGTCGTGGCTGCGTGGTCTGGGTCTGTCATTCAAAAACAACATCGCAGCTGTTTGTGGTGCAAGCCCCAATTGTTCTTCAACAAAAGGCCTGTAAGCGAATCCTGTGCTGTTCGACAGGGCGCCTACATGCACTCACATCCACTTTTCGACGCAACAAAAACACGATGCCCGCAAACAGCAGGAATGAGACATGGGACAGCTATTGGCCGGCGACAATGCGGGCACGCTCCGAAGCATTGCCTTCAGGTAGTAGGAGCCTTCCAGGCATTCCACATCATCAGCATGCCATGGTGTCATCATGGAGATCTCTCCATCTCTTCAGGCCAAATGCAAAGCAACATATTCCGTCTGAGTCACTGTCTTGGCCTCACATATGCATATAAGCTCCTTTTCTCCGGTCTCCACTGTGTGCTTCCTCCAGTGTGTTCATTTCAGGCCAGTGGATGAAAAGAACCCACTATATACTCTTGGCAATCTGGCAGATTAACTGATTGACCGGAACCTCTGAGCAAAACCCCCAGGTGTTTGAATCCGTTGTTGTGCTGTCTGTGATTGTCTGTGGCTTAGCCCCTCACATTTTGCCCGCATTCGATGCTCCGGCACCCACCTTCAGCCAGGCAAGCGGACCAAGGGAGTCTCATCACTGATGAACTCCTAACACCCGTCCCCGTCCAAGCGCCAACGAGCAGGACACGACATGACAGATCGAAGTTGGTCGGTTTTTTAAAGCGAGGTGCTTCTATGAATGGCTGGGTCCTGTGGATGGATGGAATGAGTGTCTTCTTTGGATAGATATCGCGGAAACGCTGGCAATCAAATCCCCCTGTCTTCCAACACAGTACGCCAGGCCGTTTCCAAAGCAAAAAGTTATATAACCTTGTGGTCTCTTGGTGGTGTTCGCGCACATCTCCCATTTCGAGTGATTGATCTATCCAATTGGGGCCAGCAGGCCCCGCAGACCAACGCCTGAATATTGTTCCCTCCAATGGATTTCCATGCAAAAGAACATCGTGAAAAGCCAAGGATTTGACCCCCCAAAAGTGCTGTTCACCGACTTGCCGTTCACCACGGCCTCGGGGACAGTTTGGAGACCTACACGGACCCACAATGCTCCTCGGGCAAGGCCGCTAAAGCCAAGAGCTGCAAGGTCTCCAGTGGCTCCGAGGCTTCCTTTGAAGATCCCCCAGCCTCAAAGCGCTCAAAGGTCACTGAGATTCTGTAAATCAAAGCGTGTCCATCTGAAAATCAGAGCAACGATCTCTTGTCAAACGTGTGGACTCAAAGTGGCGAGGAGGCGCTTCTTGTACTCTCTTCTAGAATCGATGAACCGGGAACCGGTTGGGGGCTCCGTCATCTTGAGACAGGTTTTTCCACACAGCCTGCCATCCCCTGCTTACCCTCTTTAAAGCACCCACATCCAGATTGGAACCCAGAAGACTTGCTGCTGTCGTCTCTCCACAAGCTCACTGGCCAGCTTCATCCAGTGCCTTAGGCTTTGGAAGCAAGGGCAGCCAAAAGCAGTAAGAGCGAGTTAATCTAGAAGGAGCGAGTCCCGCATCATGAGGTTGACCTCTAGACTAGTGACCAGCGTATAGACTTAAGACTATAGATGATTGAACCCTCCTATTCCTTCTGCGCCGATAAGGAAAACAACAATCAACCCAGATCTCAAGCCTATATTATATATATATATATTTAAAACCCCTAGTCAACTGCACAAACTCATCGTTCGATCCCATGAGCCCAGTACTTGACACCCCCGGTTGTTGTGTCGCACCACCAAGCCACAAGGCCTGCCCGGGTGCTGCCCGCAACGCCTCCTCCGCAGCTCTGCGCCAGCCCGGCCAGCCCTGACATCAAATCAGATCAATGGCATAAAACACATGGCAAAATTTTGGGATCCATGGGGTCCCTACCAATCCAGGCCAAAGACTTCTGGCCACAAGCACGTGGTCTTCCTCTGACGTCAGTCCTGTGAAACCGAGGCCGAACAAGTCTTCTTTTGTTATTATACAGTTTTTCGAGCACATCAGCTTGCCCTGCCTTGCCCTGCCACACTTTCGCTGCTGGTTTTGCTTCAGGTGTAGGTTTCTCTTCTGGCGGCGCCGGTGTCCTTTCTGATTCTGGTGGTGCTGCCTCCTCTTTGACCAGCGTAGGAGTCTCCAAACAGGCTCTTCCAATGCCTGGCAGCCAAATCACCAGTAGAATGTCCGCCGGCCAAAGCAGTCTACTGCAATCCCTTTCAAACGTGTCTTATGTTTGGTGTATGGTCTGGTTGTGGTGATGTGGCCAACATTGTCGCCATGGTTAATGATGCTTTGGGGATCGTTTTCGTAAAGCTTCATGGAGGATTGAGGGTGAGTGGAGTCGAATAATGACACTGTAGCACGACTTACACTCACTTGCAAGATGGTGGATGAAGGGTATATAGGCTCTCTCTGAGTTCTGCAAATGAACGGCCCACAGCCAATGGCTTCAATGGCCATTTAATGCCAAGCCTGCCAAGATCGGGCGCACGCAAACCAGCGCCGTGCGCTCCGGAAAGTGGATGCGCACCAACTTCTGTGGCCTCTGAGCCTTGGCATCGGGCTGCGCATCGGGTGGGACCCCCAACCGAACCCACCAACAATGCAAGCGCTGTGATGTAGCCGAGCCGGGATCTGCATGGATTCTCAACATGGAAGTCCTAGCAAATGTCCCCAAAAACCATCCGAAAAACATCCACATCTATTTTCAAAAAATTGGTCTGGAGGAAACAAACATATCAGATCTTTAAATAGAAGTGCCCCAACACCATTTCGGCCTGGTCAATCTCCACGCTCTCCGCGGGCAGCGCCAGAAATGCCTGCTCGGCCAAATCCTGAACCACCAGTTGACAAATGCGGCAGCCAATGCAAAGCTGGGCTACATTCACATCAGGTTGCCCCCCACCACCTACGGTGGACATGTTCCGCATGTCTCACTTAGTGCCATGGTTCTTTGCATGTGATTTTTGTTCTTTGCTCATTGCGATTCCCACCGCATATGGTGGGCAGCCTCGTTTACTAACAGGTTACTAAGGAAAGGGCCTGCTTAAAAAGTGACGAGCGTTGTGGGACAAATGTTGGCCAGGGTGCAACACAACTTTTTCCATGGAGCTCCGAAACTTGGATTTTGGGCGAACATGCGTAGCGGCCCTCTCTGGGATGCTAGCTGCTATCCAAAACCTCCCGAGCAATAGCACTGTCTCTGATTCTGGGAAGCAATTTTTGACGAACGCCGCCCATCTTTTCAAGCCAAGACCGGTGTCCTTCGATAGAAATGACACCTCTGCACCCTTCAGTTTCTGGTTGCCCATGGCCGTCGTCACCATCTGAAGACCTTCCTCAGCGTCAGAACGGTACCGTCGAACCCACCCTTGCAGAAGCAACAAAATCTGTGTGGCACCTCCATGTTCCTCTGCCCTCCCTGCACGATGCTTGACATGTGATGTATGATGGTCCAATTGCAGCGAGCGCCGGGAAACAATCATGAAGATGGTGTGCTGACAAGGAGGCGAGTATACAGTATACAAACAAACCTTGCAGATTTTTGCAACGCCTAAGTTGAAACCAATGGCATCTTAGTTGAAACAACAATTGCCCAGGTTTGTGCCGGAACCCGGCTCGGCTTTGCCAGTCCCGACCTGTACAAACCCCGCATTCAGTTCGCACTCAACCTGTCTTTGGATGTGTTTGACACTGCTTTCGGCAACTTTATGTTTTGGCAAAAAGCCATCAGACCCCCGTTTCGGGCGTGCACTCCAGGAACTTGCAAAGCCTGAGAAGGGAGGAGACGAAGGCCAGCCGGGGTCTTTCAACGTATTTGCTTTACAGCTGTTTGGGGAGACCCGGCTAGATCCCAGAAGGTGGCACGCTCTCTCTTGAACCGCTTAGATGGTGCTCTACGCGTTCACTGCTGCTGGTACGAGACGTCTCGATTGAAGTCTTTATACGGTAACACTCCTGCTTGCAGGTTGCCGTCTTTACATCTTTTGTGGGGAAAAAACCATAGACACAACTAGACAGGCTGCTGTCCACTTGAATGGTATCCTGGCCACTTTGTGATGCTGATGATGCACAATTGAACCTTTTTCCAGTGCCATCCACGCGACCAAGCCTATCGGCTGGCTTTCGTAACATCATAAAACAACTAACGACAAACGTGTGGCCATGACAACCAT